GTTTTTTGTTTTATTTCATGTATTGATAATTATATTATCTCTGTATTTTTGAGCTTCTTTTATGAACTAAAATGGCTCTTAGCTGTGGACCCAGAAAAATAATTGTGTTTTAGTTGTTAGGTTGTGACCCTTTTTTCATGAGAACTTAGAAATTATTAGGTTATGGCTGGATCTAGTCTTTGTTATGGGAATATTTCTTTTTTTTTTTTTTTTGATAAGGTAAGTATGTATAAAAGACAAAAAATATACAAATACGAGGGGCATACCCCAAGAGGATGACTGATAACTGTCAGTCAAGAACTCGTGGGAAAACCCACAAAGTCATGAACAGCAAAAGAGAACATGCAGGCTCCCCACAAAGCAAGAAGATGCCGTAAATAAAAAAGTCACAAACCGGCATAAAGAGCACGCAGGCTCACCACAAACACAAAGCCACAAACCGGCATAAAAGAGCACGCAGGCTCACCACAAACACAAAGTCACAAATCGGCACAAAAGAGCATGCAGGTTCCTTACAAAGCTAGTCAGGAAGATGCCATATCACACGGAGCTGAGGCGAGATCTTGTACTTAGGTGCTAGACCCAAAATCTTGGCCCGAACTAGATCACAAATAGCTAAGACAATATCTCTGCGGGAGCTACAATGCTGACGAAACACGCGATTATTCCGTTCAAACCAAAGGAAATAAACTGTGGCTGAAAGGACTAACCGGGAAAAAAGGTGACTAAAGTCACCTTTTCGTCGAAGATGCAAACTAGCCCACTGAAGCAGAGGGAGCCAAGAGAGAGTAGGCCATGTAGAAAGCGTCCTGGTAGTGACCTCCTGCCAAACATAACTGGAAAAGTCACAGCTGAAAAACAAATGGTCATAGGTCTCTGTAGCTGATCTGCACAAAACACATCGAGAGGACGTAATGACACCATCAGAGCTGAGCCGATCCATGGTGTGAAGCCGACTAAGAGAAGCGAGCCAGAGAATGAAAGAGTGATGTGGAATATGCCCGGGAAACCACAAGAGATGATGAATCGAGTTCACATCTCATTTGTCTCGCAACACATTCCAGGCTGAATCAATAGAGAACCGTCCAGATGGATGGCCCTTCCACACAAGATGGTCAAGATGACTCGCTGAAGGTTGCACTGTAATAGAGTCCTAGATATGTTGAAGGTCTGAACTGCCCGAAGGAAAGTCCCACAAACCATCCCGAATAATGTCTGAAACCCGAGCATCCCACGGCAACCCAGTGGAAGTCAAGGTTCTAAAAGGGAGCAAGTCACACAGAGGACCCTGCGGAAGCTAGTGATCTCGCCATAACATGGTGTCCCTACCATCTCCAATACAAGTCACAATAAGACCTCGGTACCAAACCCTGCTAAGTAAAATCTTCCTCCAAGCCCATGAAGCCCCAAAAGTAACTCGGATATGCCAAAAGGACCGACCACGGAGGAGAACCGAATGGGCCCAAGAAGACCATATAGAAGATCTATCAGTAAGTAGCCTCCAAACATGTTTGAGAATAGCCGCCCTATTCCAATCTTGGATCCTCTTAATCCCCAGGCCACCCTCCGTCAATGGATAGCAAACAGAAGACCATGCAACCTTCGCACCAGAATGGGACAGAGAAGTACCCTTCCAAAGAAATGAGGCCAAAATATCTCAATCCGTCTATGTAGCTACCGGCAAAGAAACCGGAGGACCAATAAACCTGTATGGAGAAAAGTACCGACTTGATCAACTGTAGTTGGCCTGCAAGGTCAAAGATGCCGACGTCCATAGCCTAATCCGAGAGAGAATTCGCTCCAACAGAGGCCTAAAATCAGAGTGTCGAGGCGGGTAGAGATTAGAGGAACCCTAGATATTTACCGGTAACTGGCCCAACTGGAAACCAATGATAGACTAAACACATCTGCTCCTCATCGTAACTCAGAAAGAAACAACTAGCTCTTCTCTGCTTGTCACTAATCCAGAAACTTAGCAAAATAATCCAAGGCCGATTTGATAAGCTAATAGAGGAAGCATCTGCTCTACAAAACACCATCAAATATCTGCAAAACACAAATGAGTAATAGCTGCCGCTACATCTCTAATGATACTGAAAACCAGGGCTGTGAGGGTTTCCTGAAAAATACCAGCTAACCCTCCATAGCCAAAAAAAAAAGGTAAGGAGAAAGAGGGTCCCCCTACCGCACACCTCGGAAGGGCCTAAAAAATCCGTGAAGCTCTCCGTTCAGGGCAACAGAGAAATACGGTATAGAGATACATGTCATGATCCCACACATACGCTTAGGAAAACCCACAGTACGCAATCCCAAAGGATGAACTCAACTCTAGTATCAAAGCTTTTCAAATATCAAATTTAAGGGCACATCGAGGTGAAGTACCCCCAAGATGATAATTCCGCAAAAGCTCCTGAGTCGCAGAATATTATCAGAAATCCTTCGACCCGGAAAAAAAGTGACTGGGAAACCCCAATTATATCCGGAAGCACAACTTAAACCGATTCACAATCACCTTAGTAATGCACTTGTAAAGTACATTACAACAAGAACGGCCTAAAGTCTGTCATACGACTCGGGCTCTCCACTTAGGAACCCAAGCAATCCGGTGGCATAAAACATCTTGGCATTTCGTAGTAGCAAAAAAATGTCTCACTGCATCCCTGAAATCGTACCAATAATATCCCATGCCCGCTTAAAAACAAAGAGTGAATCTATCCGGGCCAAGGGATTATTCATCCGGGATAGAGAATAAAGCAATCCTAATCTTATATCAGTGATAGGAGCAATCAATGGAGAAATCATATCAGGAGAAATGCGGCCAGAAAAAACCTGGAAGCCTCTGCAATCTGAGGTTGACTAGGGGCAGTAAGAAGATCCTGAAAAAAACCCACCGCAAACGCCCTAAATCTAACTGTCAGTAATATGGTACCATTCCCATCAGTCAAATTGTGGATCCGGTTCCGAACCTGCCTATGGATCAACGACTTATGAAAGAACTTAGTATTCTGATCCCCTAAGTGCAACCACTGAACACGAGACCGCGCTTAAAGAAAGCCTCCTCATCTCGACAAAGACTGAAATACTGGTTGGCAAGGTTCCTCTCCTTAGAGATACAACAGTAAAAAAGGGGTCCCGACCAAATTTCCCTGGGCGCTGCCCACCGAGCCCGAGTCTCAATACCCTGCTGGAGATATGACGGAAACCCTAATATGTAAAACTTTTGCTTCCGTTCACTAACCCTAATTTTGTGTAAGACGGAACATAGGATTGCCTACAATAGGCTCGTCCCAAACTGCCTGAACAATACCCTAAAATTTGCATGATCAGCCCAAAAATTTAGAAATTTAAAAGGGGATGGTACCTTGCCACGGCGGGGACCAAACCGGACGATAATAGAGCTGATCTGAAACATCTCGGTCCAACTCTGAAACTGCTTGGTCAATCAAGGAACCAAGAAAGTGATGCAAAGAACCAATCGAGCTCTGTAAAATAAACATCGCCTGTGACGTTATGCCAAGTAACCGAAGCCAGTAAAAGGAATCCCAATCAACTCAGCCTCATGGATACATTGGCCAAAATCATCCATAAACCATACCACACAGGATCACTACCCACTCTGTCAGAGGCTCCCAAGATGGCATTAAAATCACCCAACACAAGCCACGGGAGCCCCTTGAATCAAACATTGCCGATTGATCCCTAAGGAAATCCCACAGATTGCGGCGATTCCCAGGTTAGAACCATAACAAAAGTAATCCCAAATGAGAACCCCTCAGAAACATGGGTAACCCTGCAGTAATCTCCGAAGAGAGCAATGAAGACTATGCACAGAGTAAAGAGAAGAGTCCCAACATACCAGAACACGGCAAGCAATAGAATCTGTCGCATTCGATAAAAAACTGCCCGAGGGACAAAACAGACGAGACCACTGACTGTAAATGAGACTGCTCAACCTTAGTCTCCAACAAACCAATCAAACCCAAAGAAGAGTCAGAAATCCAATTCCGCACAGCGCGTTGTTTCGAGAAGCCGTTAAGGCCTCTAATATTCCAACTCCCTATCATTGGAATTGGGATAGAAACAAGCTAAGAAATCACTTGAGCCGAAGCCCCCGCTTTCCCCGACCTATCCCCTTTGCCAGGGGTGGCAAGGAAACTGATCCAGATAAGGTGGCCTTGTGGATTTGTTAAATTAACCATTTTTTTTGTCTTTTTCTTTTTTGGGTTGCAGTGAAGCTGGTTATCATTGTCAACAACCGTCGTCATCTTCGGAAGTCTGAGATAGAGTACTATGCGATGTTGGCTAAAGTTGGGGTTCACCACTACAATGCAAGTAGGTTTCTTAATCTTCTTATTGCCTTCTACTCATATGCAAAGTATATTTGTTCTTTGGTTTCCTTTTTACTTTCCTGTTATTTATGGTTATTTAAGTTTTAAATTCGACATATAAAGTCATGCATAATACTAGTAAACTTTGGTTAGAGGGTAGTTTGTTTTCTGATTATATCCAATTCCTATTGGCAGCGTGAAAGAAGGATTGGATTTTATTAAAGAGGCTATCAACAGAAGAGGGTATGGTGAGAAGATAAAGATAGCTATCAATGTTGTTGCTACTGATTTTTGCAAAGGTGATGAGTTCTTTCCTGCAAATTTCCTACACTAGTGGTAGCTTGTAGAGAATAACCTTTTTTTTTCCTCTCTTAAATCAAAAGTTAAATGACATTATTAGGTTTTTGAAGAATTTGATCCTGTTCCTATAGAAAGTGTTTCCCTTGCACAAGTTCATGTTGCTTGTACGCATGATGGCAAAAAGTTGATGTTAAGGTTTTATTCACTGTTATTTTTACCTCAAAGTTCATTTAGTATGCTAAGCAAAGTCCAAGTTTCCATGCAAATTATGCACAAAAGTAGGACTAGAATGTTTGTTAATTGCTTTCAATGTCAAAACAATTTCCCCAATATTCAGGTTCAGCATACTCACATGACCAATACTGCAGCTGTAGATCATGCCACTGTAGAGCTGATTGTGAATACCCTTCATAAGTTTTTTCCTTCTTTTGACTATAGGTATGTTTTTGTTTGGTTCATGTGCTTGGTAATTATCCCTCCATCTTCCAGTCATTGATAAAGCATTTATTTGCACGAAATAACTATAATATTTGGATGCTCCTTCATTTTTTGTATATACCTAGATGGGTCACTTTGTATGCATCTATCAAAATGGTTTTCACATTTTATGAAACCTCTAGTGTTAATTGATATTTTTATGACTTACATGTGTAGATGGTTGCTTGATGAAATGCGTGAAAGTTTGCCCAAGGTTAACTACTTTAATAATCTTTCATTTTAAATATTTTCCTCATGATTCATGCATGTCATATGTTAATTGTGAGATCTACTTTAATAACATCTTGAAATTTAAATGTAATAATTTTTTTTTCTTATATAATGCTTATGACATGTGCTTTGTTTCGATGTTTTCTACTGCTTGAATGTCTTTATAATTCTGTAACGTGGGATCTAGGCAGCAAATCAAAATCGAATTGCTTATTGCAAATACCGTTGCTATGTAATTGAACTTCTGTTTACTTGTTAGAAATGAAATTCCTCTAGGTTTCTATTTTCAATTATTTGAAATGAAATTCTGTTGCTATGTAAATGAACTTCTGAAGACTTGTTAGAATGAATTGTGCTGCTGACTTTTGGTATTGGATGGCCACAGGAAAGGATAGGCCTGTTCACTACAATAGTGAAGCTATGGGGATGATAAAGACTCTGGCCTTCCACCGAGGTAAAGCTCCAAAAGGTGACCGAACTAATTGGGTTATCCACTTTTGTTGTTGGTTATGCACACATGATAGTGCATTTTTTTATTTTTATTGCTCATGTTTCTAAAAAATCCATGTATGGACTATTGACTTTATATGCAATGAAGATAATTGATGTTATTGATCCACATTTTTGTATTGTGTTTCTCTTCTTTTGTTGATGTTCAATGTGTTCATCAGGTGAATTACAAGGAGTAGCAACATTGCTCTTAAATGTAATCCTATTTGCCACTAAAGTTTTAGTCGCAGAAATAATAAACAATCCTGGACTAATCAATTATTGCTGACTAAAAAAATTAGTTTCCAAATCTCATATATTATGGGCAACTATACCACTTAGATGTAGAAAAATATATTTTCCTAATCAAATGATTAGTTGCCGAATCAAAGAAAACAAATTGGCCAAACACTTCTAGCAACTACAATTGAGTTGCTTTTGCCACTGATAATTTAGTAATTAAAACACATTTTTTACAACTAATTTAATGGTTGCGGAAAGGAAATTACCATATTTCGGTCCAACATTTACTGACTAAAGTTTTTGGTAATTACAGCTAAAGTTTTAGTTACTAAAAGAGGCATTTTGCAATAGAAAAAGTAGTTGTGAAATGCTTTTACCAAATTATCCTTAAGCATTCGGCGTCTATTTTTTTGGAATTACTATCTATTTTTTAGTCACTAAAAGTTAAATTTTGCGACTAAATCAATAGTCGCCATGCAATTTTACCAAATTACTCTTATTCATTCGGCGTCTAATTTAGGGGACTATTTTTCGAGGCAATTAATAACTAAATTGTTGGTTGCTAAAGAAAACGTTTTGGTTTCTAACCATGATTTTAGTTGCGGATACTTTCCATGATAGCGATTTTGCAACTAGTTGACGACTAGGAATTTTAGATGGGATAAACAATCAGCGTCTAAATTTGACTATTAGAGTCTATTTTCGATAGACGTCAAATGCCATTTGTCTTTTAGTGTTTATTGTAGGTGAGTTTGTTACAATTAGTTGTTTAAATTGAATTATTGCTGGAATTGGGTGGAGAAGAAAGGGAAAACCTTTGAGGCAGCTGGGTAGTTCGGGTTGAGCTGAGAAAAAGAGGTGAGTGGACTACGTTTTGGCCTATTCATGCATGTGATGGTGCTTGGAAATATGTGTGATTATGCACTGCATTGTGGTTAATTTATTGCATGGAATGTAGGCTGAGATTGTGTGTGTATGGACTGCATTTTGGGGTCAGTTTCATGGTCACAATGAGGCTGGATTTTTGGTGTGTTTTGGGTCAATTTGTTACACAAATGGAGGCTGGAAATTTTAGGAGTTATAGAATGCATATTTGATTGTTGTATGCATGTCTCGGTTGGTGGTAATTGCGAAAGAAAATGCTTGTAGTTGGTCTATAAAAATGGGTCTGCTCCTGGTGGTTGTCATACTTATACCCGTGAAAAAGGCTAGTATGGTATTCATTAAGTTTATAATTTTTGGGTGCTGATATTTTGTTGGCTTGTATGGGGTATATGGGGAATTTATTGGATTTTGTATACGGGAAGGCAAGCAGGGACACCATTAGAGGATTTCGATCCTTCTTCGAATCAAGGTTTTAACTTCAAAAGGTGAGTGGAATAGTAATTTGTATTACAATTCATGTTGGTTTTGGGTCGATTAGTTATGTATCATATGCATGTGTGCTTATATTGGTTATATTTTGGCTTATGAAAATAACAAAATATATTTTTGGCGTAAGTGTTTGATATGCATGATGATGATATGAAAATTGTTAATTTTTGGCTAAGTGATGGTGTGTGGGTAACATGCATGTGTGAAATTATGGATATCTTTAATGTCTATGCCAAGTACGGAATTATGGATGGATTGCATGTTGGAATGGGTCATTGTTAGGAGAAAATCCAGTCAATTTTTGGAAGGGTTGGTGATGCGACTAAATCAACCCTAGCAAGTGCACTAGTCATATTCAAGTAATAAAGTGATGAGTTTGAATATCGTCCCATAGAGATCAAAGAAATTATTTGTAATTATCTAAAACTATTTACACATTATTTGAAAACACGAAATTTTAGAGTATTAAACTAACGGATAAAAAAATAACTAAATTAAACAAATAAATAATGTGAAGAACTTTGCAGTATTAATGAAGTTATGTTACGTATTCCCCCCTAACTATGCTTGACAATTACTCTTAATACCTGGTTGTGCTATGAATTGGTAGGATTCCTCTAAGGCCAATTATCCTTATTCAGGCATAATAATCAACTTCATACAGATCCCTATTCGGTTACTCTGAAATTAACAAGCATAAAATCATCAATACCTTATGACTAATTCACCCTATTCCATTATGAATTAGGTGGACCACAAATTAATCATAGAATCTCTATTCGATTACTTCTAGTTTTAATACATTGTGCAATGTTATTTCAATAAAAACAATTATGAATATGAATTAAGTAATAAACCCTAACTTCTCTATTCGAAACATCATCAAGGTGATTGAATCAATCCAACATTCATAAAGCATTAAACCTAAACTCTTGCACAAATTCATAAACATAAATCTAGTATTAAGAATAAAAATTGTTCAAAACATAATTAGGGTATTATCCTCCCCAACAAAAGAGATTTATTCCATCCTAAGAACAAAGAAATAAATAGAGAAGAAAGAAAACATATTCAGACTGGAAAATAAACAAAAATCAAACTCTTAAATCTGATCATCAGTTTTCAAGCCCTAAGAATGCGTATTCTCCTCTCCAAATATGCAAAATTTTTTTTTTTTTTTTTAAAGTTAATCTCAATCATACTTAAATACCCTAAAGAGTCCCAAGTGAAAAAAGAAAGAAAAACTAACAAAAATGCCCTGATAGTTTCTGCCACGGCTAAGTCACCATAGCCTAGGCCGTGGTGCTTTTTGGTCTCTTTGTTTTATCTTTGTTCCACCACCATGGCCATGATGAACTACCAAGGCATGACCGTGGCCTTAAAAAATGTCAGGTAGTCTCAATTTCTTCAAGCTTTAAGTCCCAATGTTATTCCAGTGCTCCAATCTACTCAATCAAAGCCTGAAAACACACAAAAACTATCTAAATCAATAACTGACCATTCACATCTCAAGCTTAATAAAAACTAACACCAAAACAAATAAAACAAATGAGAAATTAACTAAACTAACATCAAAACAACCCTAAAAACACTCAATTTATGCAACTTAACAACTTCCCCAAACTTAATCCTTTGCTCGTTCTCGAGTAAAGAAAATATCAGAAAAAAAAACTCAATAATCATCAAGGATTTGCTGTATTTCTGAAATCATGGAAAGGAAGCAAACATGCTTTAAATAATATTCATGCATCCAAACACACAACCCAGCTAATTATGCAACTCTAATCTTTCCCCAACCCAGTCATGCCTCACTAAGACTTTAGACTTAACCCCTTGCTTATTTTATTATTTTTTTCATAGGCTTCCTTAGATCGTCACATCACCTTTTTACGTGAATGCACACCATTTGTGATGGTTGCCCTCGATTACTCAGCAATGTCACAACACCTAAAGTGCTTTGCATATTCATACTTCAAGCCACAGTTTGATGCAAAAGTAAACATGGGGCTTATGAATACTCTTGGTTACTAAGTAGCTTGAAATAGTGGGGTAGTTCATTAAAAAAAAAACAAATAAGCATAGTTAATTTATTTCAAGACTGTATATACAATTTTTTTTTTTTTTTTTTTTTTTTTTTAGGGAGTGAAGATAAGGCTCAGCTAGTACATAACAAAGTCAAGTAAAAAACTAGAATTTGCACAACCATCTAGAATAGCATACTCTTCAACATTCCTAAAGATATGAGCATGTTTGAATCCTTTCAATGACTTGATACTACCACTACTCCAAATATTACAAAGTTCATCACAAAAAGAATTTTTGGGGATATCACAAAGTTTCACTCAAGATTGTATTAAAAGCACAAGCATAATCACCACCATGCAACAAATACAAAATAAAAACAAAAAACAAAAACACACAAATAAAATAAACACTTCTTAAGAACAAACACACCGAACCAAAGAAATAGACCATCAACAATCCAACAGAAACCAAGCTGCCCACTCCCCCAAACTTAAAGAATGCATTGTCCTCAATGAATGAAAAAAACAAAAAAAAAAAAAAATCGAAAATAAAGGACAAGAGCTTCCCTGAAAAGGAGAGTTTTTTTTTTTTTTTTTTTTTTTTTTTTTTTTTTTTTTTTTTGGACATGGCCATGGTTGTGTAACATAACAGGGGGTACCCTGTGTTTAATTCTGCTCAAAGCTTTCTTCTTCTTCTTTGACTAGAGTTTTTCCCAAACTTGTTCCTTGTTCTGACGATAACAAAACAAAACAAAAACAAAACTAAAATGCATCAAAGATTGAAAAAAAAATGCAAAAATTTTAGTAAATAAAAAAAAAATAATTGTAGAAGAGAAAAGAAAAGAAAAATTATATTTTTAATTTAAAGTTGTTAGCTTGACTTTCTCTGCTTTCTTCATTCAAGAAACTAGACAAACGTGGTATTTAGATCGAACCATGCTCTAACATAGTGCTTCAAACGGTGTCCATTAACTTTAAAAGTCTCACCTGTCTTTCCATGGCGGATCTCAATTGCTCCAAAAGGTGTTACCTGAATTACCTCATATGGACCAATCCATTTTGATTTTAGCTTTCCCAGGAAAAGACGAAGATGACTATTGTGAAGAAGAACTTGTTGTCCAGGCTTGAACTCCTTTTTTGCAATGTGCCTGTCATGCCATTTCTTTGTCTTCTCCTTGTAGAAATTAGCAATCTCATATGCCCAATGATGAAATTCATCTAGCTCATTCACCTGCAAAAGACATTTAACACCTTCACTTTGCTCACCAAAAATAAA